TCATATTGTAGGGTCTATACCATAAAATGCAAATTAGTCAGATAAATATATATTTCTTTTTTTTTAATTTAAAAAATATATACTATCTTAGGATCTTTTTAATATTTAATTTAGTCAGTTAAATTTGTATTGCTTTGTAATATTGTTGTGTCTTAACTTTAATATTTAAATAAGTCAGGTGAATTTGTCATATATTTCATATTGTAGGGTCTATACCATAAAATGTAAATTAGTCAGATAAATGTATATTTCTTTTTTTTTTTATTTAAAAATTATAAATTGAAATGAAAATGAAATTTAAATAAAAGTAAAATAAAAATGTGAGTTTTTGTCTCTAAAATCCTTATAGTGTGTTTATTTAGTTGTTAAAGTAAACAATCGATCTAAACACGGCTTCAGCTTCTCTTTTTATGTAATATTATAATTTTGGGGGGTCCCCCGGGTCGTCGCGGCTGCCGGTCCCCCCTCCGCTGTGCGCTCCAGCGGTCCGGCTCCGGGTTTTTCAGCGGCCTCTGCCTCGAGCCTGGCAGCGGCGCAGCGTGAAAGCGGTGGGAAACAGAAACACTATGGCTGCCACTCTGTCTCTTACTCAGGTAACACTCTCTTACAACTCTCATGTAACGGCCAGCGACGCTCTCTGCCCTCCGTCCGCCCCCGCTCGGAGGCACCGCGGCGGCGTTAGCTACCCGGGGCGGCCAGGGACGGGAGCTTTCCTCGACGCTGGCCGCTCTTGGGGAAGTTTAGTCCTGCTGTGACTGGGAAAAGTTTCTGCCTAATCTCTTTGGGGACTGCGTAAGGGCGTAGCTAGCTAGCTAGCCCGCTAGCTAACAGCTAGTTTGTGTTGGGCTGTTCTGTCCACTGGCGCTTTATCAAAGTTAAGATAAGGCGTGTAGCTAGCGGCAGTTAGCTTCGTTCCGATGCTGTTTGTAGTCACAATTTGTGCTGCCTGCTTTTGCTGCAGGCTAGTCGGTCCCGGATAGAGAGGAAAAAAAGCCCAGATGATGATACCCATGTGTGGCTCTGTTGTGGCTTTTACTGTCACATTTCTGCTAGTTCAGCTTCTGCTAACATTGTTTTCAGAAACTAGCAGGTTGCAGGTCAACGTTAAAGCGTCGGTAGCTTCTCGCTGAGGGGTTTCCCGTGTAGCCTGGCCACACTGAATCACCAACCTGCTTATTGCTATAATTAGAAGTAAACATCTTGGTCGGCTGTGTTGCTGTTTGACCTTTCTGAAGTGGCCAGCGCTAGCCTGTTAGCCGCTGCGGTTGTCCACTTGTGTTTACGGACAACTGCTAATTTTGTTGTTTTGCAAGCAGCAAGAGGAAGTGAAGGAGTTAGAAACCAGCCACCTCAGCTGTCACGGAGTGTCAGCGTGCTGCTAGCTGACTAAAACACTTGGACTTATGTCCTGCTGCCCTGTAGATGAGTTATTTAGCAGGTAGCAGACAGGTGTAATAAGTAGGTTGCAGCCGCAGACTTGTCACCAGAGCCAGCGTTGCCTGTAACGACAGACCGAAGCTGTCTCCCACCGGCAGCTTTGACATCATTTTGTGCCACAGAAGAGTTAACAGATGTGTGTGTTGTGAAAGTTTATTGTCCTGTCAGGCAGCATTGCTTGTTTCTAAATGCTCTGTCAGCTTTACCACCTGATAATCTTGTAGCTGAAGCCATGTTTCGGTGCTGCTGCAGGTGTTAATCGACTTTAATCGACTTTAACTCGGTGTGTTTTGGTTTTGGTCAGTCCTTAGTGTCTCTGCAAGACTTTTAAAGGACACCAAAAACAAGGGAAGCATTACAGCTGTACTTCTACAGGTTAAAACTGGACAAAAACTTGACTTTAAGGTGGTTTTATTTGCATGTGTTGGCACCTTTTTTTGTCCCTACTTGACCTGAAGGCCTCATAGTGTTTTTATCTGATGAGAGGATGCAGATGATCCTCTACTGTGATATTTTAAAGAAAAACCTCATTTGTTTGCAATAGCTGTAGGCTGCTTTTAGTGGTCCTGCATGTTTATTATTGACCTTACAAGAAGCTTTTGCCTGTTTTAGTATGTTATACAATTTGGTTTTGTTTTACTAATTGATTCTACATGTTTTATGTCTGTATATTTCTATTTTTATATCGTCTGTAATGTGCTATTCATTGCCACGAGTATCCAGACCAGCATCCCGTCATCTCCTGATGTACGTCGCTATCTGCTGCACTTTTGTATGAGCTAGCCGGGGGATGATTGAGGGGTGTTTTTCCAATGCTCAATTAAAGAGTCACCAGTACAATGACCGCAGTGTTACGGCCGCCAACAGTTCCAGGCACACTATTGTGTGTGTCATAGAAAAAAAAAAGTTGCATCGGCCAGTGACAGATATGTGTGTGTCAACAGTTATCTCGCTGTAAACTGGCGGTTGAAAAAGCTGACGGTTAACTGATGGCAGGCTGCTCCGTTTTGTTTGTTTGTTTCTGGTCTTCGGTGCCAGAGCAGCGTCTGACATCCAAGCAGATCTCTTCTTTGTTTCACAGCAGAGAGTAATTTTGCATGTCTGTTTGTCTCTGAGACAACCCTCCTGTTGAGCAGCCACTCCCCGACTGATTCACTCTTCAAACAATTACTCCTTTAGTCCTTCCCAGCACCTGCCAGTTTGAAACCACAGCAAACCAGTAGTCACTTCTCCAGCTATATGAAGAAGGAAATGCTGATTTGTTTCCTGTCAGACCCAGCAGTGGGCATTGAACAGAGGAAAGAGCGGCGTTTGGGGAGGATGTGACAGAAGAGCTTGCGGAGTGACGCCCTTTTGTAAATGTCTAAAAGCTGACCACGAGATGTAGGAAGTGTAGCCTATATCCTGCACAAGTCATCGCTCGCTCTGAATGTAAACCGGCACAAATCCTCTGTATCGTAGGTCGGCTTTGGAAAACGTCTTCAGAAAGTGTTTGATTGTGTGTGCTTTTTAATCATCATCTTATTAGTGTGAGATAGTTGATCAGTCGGTAAATTAATCACCGACAACAAAGACTGAACAGTTTGAGGAACATATCTAATTGCAATACTTCAAACAGATATTGCATTTTCCATTATATATATAGTCAAAACGTGATCATTACCACATTAGATGCCATCAACACATCAACAGCTCTGTGTGATTTAATGCATGGATGAGAACCGAAAGATATAAATTGCTTCTGACATAGTATAGGAGGTAGAAGAACGATCACAAAAGCTGCTTGTGTGTTAAGTTAACAAGGTAAAGTAGTCGGGACAAACAAAACAATAGGGATAGGAAAATATCTGATATGAAAACAGGTTCATTCAGCATTTAAGTGTCATGCATTCTCCAACAAAGTGAAGATAATATGAAATAAATCCTGTATTGTTCAGCTCCACCAACAACTTTGAGAATCAAATAGTAGTTTTTGTGATTTTGTTTGTTTTGGGCTCAGACCTGCAGCTCTGGACCTTTTTCAGAACCATTTTCCAGCATTTTCTTCCGTTTTTTTTTTTTTAAATTTAAGCAAAATTACAACATGTAAGTTGTGCTTAGCTTCTCAAACTTGATGCGTCTCTTCGCTGACAGTAATCTGAATATCTTTGGGTTTGGGACTGGTGGTCAAACAGGCCGTTGAAGAAGCTACTGCTGGTCTCTCTTCCTCTATTCTCAGGCTTTTAATGAGTTAATTGCAAAACGTGATCAGTGGATAAATCGATTACGCTGCTTGCGGCCCCGTGAGGCAGATTGATCAAGAAGGGAAATAATTGTTAACGTAGTTTGGAGCTCAGTTGTGGAAAGACTTTGGCTTCTCATGACGCTGATTCTCACAGCGAACCGAGCGCTGCAGCAGTTTTTAAAGACGTTTAGCTGAATTTGGCTCTCGGACAAACGGCTCATCTGCTGAGGTGACAAAAAAAAAGTCCACGAGCCATATCAAAGAGAAAAAAAAAAGGCAGAATTTGAACATATTAGTTGTAATTCGTGCGACTGCTGCTGCCATCTGTAACGGATCAGCGTGTTTTTTTATTTATCTGACAGCTGTCTTGGCTCGGTGGATGACACACTTACTGCAGCCAGGAAACACTTGTGGATCATCTGAGCTCTCGAGCAAGTGAATTTGTAAAACCGAAAAGGCGTTTCGAATGCTGTTTTATCTTGTGTCGGGCTATTTTAGGGGCGATTAGTGTCATAAATCGATTAGCTTTGAAAAATGCGATGAGAAAATCACAAAGGCTGCAGTTTAGGTAAAGCACGGGTCTATTTTTTAAAAATTATTGATGCTTATTATGTAATTTATTTGCAAAATGTGTAAAACTTAGATGCTTCTACTGATATATGAATGTAAATATCAGAAATTGTTTGCAGAAAGAATATTTAGCTTAACAGAGTCGCAGCTTTTTAAAAAAAAATAATGCTTCTAACTCATAATAAACATGTTATAAATATATGTTTGAAGTCATTTCTATTTTTAAGTTGTCACCATTGCATCACAGTGTAGGGCAATTAATATTTTGATGTTGTCTCATGTGGTTAATGAGGAATGGCGTTATAAGTCTGTTACACAATAAATCTTGAGCCGAAGCTTTAAAAAATCAAAATGTCTGTCATGCCAACGGTTGTGCAAACCGATGCCGCCCTTGTTGCACGAGAGTCACGCTTTTGATGCCGTCCGTCACTCGATGTTAAACTGAAGCTTGAATATCCAAGAAGACCCGCGTGTGGTTGTTCCAGTTTTTAAAGATGTGGTTGAATTTAATGTGCAAACAGTTTTTCTTTTTTAAATGTGGATTTCTTTGTCTTTCTTAACAGCTCTCCAGTGGAAATCCCATCTATGACAAATACTATCGACAGGTATGGAAATATATCGCTCCAGAAACAAAGAAAATATGCCTCACTGAGGTTAGGCCAGAGTGTCTCTTACATATTATAGTTTAGCTTCAAATCTGAGCCAGTGCTGCTGTTTGATGTGGCGGTTCGACTGTCACCAGATTCAGATTCTGGATTAAACGTGGCCGAGAGAGAGAAGATCTGTTTTTGTGATTGCGCTGCAGAGACTCTTCCAGCTCTAAACGAGCTTCAGCTGCATTAATAAACAGGAGCGTTGCAGTGAGCAGCCGTCTCTCTTCTCTCTTTTCACTTCCAGCCTCTGTGTCCAATAAAGGAAGTACCTCTATGAATTAATAATGTTTCCCTTTGCCCAACATGTCAGGGGAGCTCCCTGAGAGCCTCGTGAAGGACTGCTAAGCTAATAGACTGCTGAGAAAATAGCTTTAGTTTATTATCTGTATTGATTTAGGTGAATCAGAGACTCTCCCTTCCCACAGGGCGCAGCTTTCACTTCTGCTTTATTTGCCCTTTGCTTTCTTGAAGCTGAGATTGTAGTTAGACTCTGCTTCCTGATACAGTTTGTTATCTCTGTTAGTCGTCTTACTGGTGTTTCTGAGATGCTGTGAGCTCTGATAGCGGCGTGTTCGTGTGCAGGTCGATCCGACTGGCAGCGGGCGGGTGGCGGCGGCTGATGCAGCTCTCTTCCTGAAGAGGTCGGGCTTAGCTGACCTGGTCCTGGGGAAGGTGAGCAGAGACACCACAACGTGTCTGTTGGGTTTAATATTCACGCTAACACATGTGTAAATGTCTCCTCAGATCTGGGATTTGGCAGACGCCGAGCGAAAGGGTGCGCTCAACAAACAGGTACAGATTCATCACTTCCACGTGCTTTGAGAAAGTGTGATCATCACCGGGTTTACTTCACGGCACCTCTTCTCCCCTCAGCAATTCTTCATCGCGTTGCGGTTGGTGGCTTGCGCTCAGAATGGCCTGGAGGTGGCGCTCAAGAGTCTTAATGTGGCCGTTCCTCCCCCCAAATTTGTAAGTGTGCTGCTAAATCTGTGCTACAGATGTCAGATGATAGGCAACATAAATCTAGACTATTCTGATTATGGCCTGGCACTGTTTGCACTTCCTTTTTAACATCTAATGTTGTGTTTTATGTTGATTCTGTCCGTCTGCAACTCACTGTTTGTTGAGGACGGGTCCCACAGTGTCTGTGATTCAGTATTCCATCGGGTGACGAAACCCGATGGAAGTTCACTAAGAAAAGACAGCAACTGATGCTACACTTCTGGGTTTTGCACATTTGCAGAAGTGTCGTGTCATTTCTAGAAAAGTACTTACAAGAGCAGTTGTGTGTAAACGAGCAGTTTATAAAAAGAAGGTGCAAATATGTACAAAACAGATTCTAGAAATGTAACGGTGAGTGATGGTGATAAGTAGTTTGTGTCGATTCTGTTCTCCTTTTATGTGCCGTAATGGTTAAATATATTATTTCTGCTTGATACGTTTTAAATTTAAACCCTGAAAACGTTTGTTCTCCTCCAGCATGACACCAGCAGCCCGCTGTTAGCAGGAGGAGCCATCGACGTTCCCTGGGTGGTCAAGGTGAGGCGCCGACAAACTCATCTTCCCGTCTTTGTCTGTTTGTTTGTAATTGTTGTCCTCGTTTCCCTGTCAGGAAAGAAGGGAGATGTTTCCCAGACAGAGTAGAGTTCCTTTATTGCATAGTGGATACACAACATCAGACATTTTAAAAGCACAGAAGGAGATCTGCAAATTCTATAACATAAAAATCTAGTCAAAAAATCAAGTGTGTGTATAGAAACAGTGGGAACAGCTTATTCTTTAGGTGGATTAAAACATATTGCACATTGCAGAACATACACAAAAACAAAGTAAAGGCTTAAAGTGGTGCAAAGAAGTTGTGTGATCTTTAATGTTCATATAAGATGTTAAATTAGATAAAATATGACGCCGGTGTTTCCCAGCCGGAGCTATTTGTTCATAAACATGAGAAAAGCAGGTGTTCTGTTGACACACACAACAGTACCGGCGATAACAGATTTCTGTTTACAGCTGACAGGCCTGGATTTCTCTGCTCGCTGAACTTGTTGCTTCAGCGGAAACAGCCCTTTATGTAACATATTGGAGAAGTCATTTACAGGAGCTGCAGCAGGAGGACAACCTTTAATCGTGTGTTGTCTTTTTTTTTTTTTTTTGTCCCAGCCTGAGGAGAAGATGAAGTTCGACTCCATCTTTGACAGTCTGGGTCCAGTCGGAGGGATGCTGTCAGGAGATAAGGTCAAACCGGTCCTGCTCAACTCCAAGCTGCCGGTGGACATCCTGGGCAGGGTAAGAACCTCCAGCAGGACTCTGTGAAGGAACCTGACGAAGAAGAAGTGAATATTTACCGATTTGTACACGTTGCTTTAAAAAAAAACTGGAGCAAATTCTGTCCAATATGGAAAAGTGGCTCGAAGCAGAAAGCAATAAAAAGGGTCTGAGATCAAAAATCAGTTGGAAAATTAGATCAGAGATGCAGATGTGAAAAGCAATAGTGAGTCAGAGCTTTCAGGGGCTCGCGTTGTTATGAATCATAAGGTTTTGCTGATGACTTCACAATCGTGTCTTTGTGTGTTGAAGGTCTGGGAGCTCAGTGACCTCGACAGAGACGGCATGTTGGACAGAGATGAGTTTTCTGTGGTAAGATTTGAGCTAATATTGGAGATAGAAAAGAAACCACAAAGGGTTGCAGTTACAGACTGGTTTCAGTTTTGGCTGCGTTTAGATGTATTCAGCTGTCAGTGTGCTAACCCACTGGTTTCTCACATATTGTCTTCAGAAGGTTTTCGCTCCAGATTTGAAACTCTTTTGACACATTTTTGCCTTTTGTTTGTGTGTAAACTTGTTCATATATTACGTGTACAATATTAGACGCTATTACAGGCTGTTACAAACACTTCTGTAGAGCTGAATGCAGCAAATTCAAGACATTCAAGACATTTTCTTAACTTTCTGAAATGTTTTGCTCCAGATTTGAAAAATGAAAAGACCTTTTATTATGTTTAGTTTTTATGTATGTACATGTGTTCTTATGTTTTAAATACCAAACTGGATGCTTTTACAGCGAGGTAAAATCATTTCTGTAGCGCTAAATGCAGCAAAAATGTGATGCACCACTGATCTAACACAGATTTTCTTTGCTATCTGAAGATTTTTGCTGCAGATTTGAAAAAACAGCCAGTTAAAATCATTTCTGTAGAGCTAAATGCAGCAAAAACGTGATACACCACTGATCTAACACAGATTTTCTTTGCTATCTGAAGATTTTTGCTGCAGATTTGAAAATTTGTGCATCTGTTTTTTTGTTTTACAGTCAATTAAAATCATTTCTGCAAAGCTGAATGCATCAAATTCAACACATATAGAAGAATCCTGTGTTGTTTGTGATTATGGAGCTCAACTTTTCTTCCCTATCTAAAGATTTCTGCTCCAGATTTGAAAGTTTATTCATCTGATTTTTGGGGGTTTTGCTGAATTGGACACTTTTACAGCTAGCTACAATCATATCTGTAGAGCTGAATGCAAAAATTCAAGACATGTAGAAGAACTATATCTTGTTTCTGTCAATGTAGCACACATTTTCTCTAAAATTTCTGATGCAAATTTGAAAGTTTGTGCATTAATATTTTATTTTTTTGTTCCCATCTGCTCATATATTACATGCACAGTATTGGATGCTGTTAAAACCATTTCTGCAGACCTGAATGCAACACATGTGGAGGAGCTGTGTGTTGTTTCTGTCAGTGTAGCACAAATTTTCTTCACTATCTGAAGATTTTTGCTGCAGATTTGACAGTTTGTGCACTAATATTTTTGCATTTTACAATATTGGACACGAGTACAGGCTGTTAGAAACGTTTCTGTAGAGCTGAATGCAACACATGTGCAAGAACTGTGTTGTTTCTGTCAGTATAGTACAAACTTTCTTCACGATTGTTGCTGCAGATCTGACAGTTTATCTGTTTTTTTATTTTTATTTTTTTGCATTTTGCAATACTGGACACGATTACAGGCTGTTAAAAGCATTTCTGCAGAGCTAAATGCAACAAATTCAACACATGTAGAAGAACTACATATTGTTTCTGTCAATGTAACACAAATTTTCTTCACTATCTGAAGATTTTTACTGCGGATTTGACAGTTTGTACATCTGTTTTTTTTCCATATTAGACACTATTACAGGCTGTTACAACTATTTCTGTAGCGCTGATTGCAGCACATTCAAGACATGTGGAAGAAGTGTGAGGATTGGATGACTCCAGCATGGTTAGGTAATCATCTCTTATCATTGATTTTGTTGTTGTTGTTGTTGTTGCCCTCTCCCAGGCCATGTATCTGGTGTACAGAGCTCTGGAGGGCGAGCCCGTTCCCATGTCCCTACCGCCTCCCCTGGTTCCGCCCTCTAAGAGGAAAAAACCCGCCGTGCCTCCCGTGGTGCCTCCCGTGATGCCCCTGTTACCCTCGCCCCCCTCCGTCAAAGACAGTCGCTCCTCCCACGCCGGCTCTAAGGCCATACCCCACCCTCCTAAACCCGCTCCAGCTCCTGCCCCAACACCCGCCGCTGCCCCTGTGAGTACAGGATCTGTGCATGCAGTCACCCGAAAAGCTTTTCGGATGTTTTAGCTTTGCAGCAGCAACGCACATTCAGAATGATTTCAAACTGGCTAGCTCAGTGTGTTTTTCACAAGAACAAGGCTAGAGCGAGTGTGAAGGTAAGCCAGTCGTGTCTTTGCTGTGGGTTCACCCTGCGGTCGTGAAGAATATACTTAAAGAAGTGTGTTTCGTTGCCTCCACAGTGGGTAGTTTCACCAGCAGACAAAACCAAATATGACGAGCTCTTCAGCAAGACGGATGGCGACATGGACGGTTTGGTGTCTGGACCTGAAGTCAGAGACATTTTCCTCAAGACTGGGCTGCCGTCTGCTACGCTCGCACGTATTTGGTAAGAAGAACAAACTTCCCTTTCAGCTTCTCAGTCTGGCTTTGATGCACAAAACTGCAAACAATTATAGGTATACTTGTGAATTGGTTTAAGTGTCATGTATCTGCCATTTAGTGCAGTTTGTCTTTGGACCCTTAACAGAAATAAACAAATAAAAGCAACAAAAAAAGAGGAAGAAAGTTCAGGAGGAGCTACAAAGGAGGAATCGCAGTGTCAGTAGATGACATGCAGAGTATAAGGAAATAAAAAGTGTTATTTCCTCAGTGAGTTAGCTTGATAAGGTGCTGATGTGTTTAAAAACGTTACCAGAGTACATGTGCAGTAGATCAGGGTTTGTACTTGTGGAAGAATCTGTGAATTTGGTATTTTGCACACCCAGATGATAATTGTTCGGTGCAATAGCTTAATACATGTATGCATGTAAGAATCTGTTGTTTATTTTGATTTATTACAGATGCTCCCTATTGTTTTGCAGTGTCCTCTTTGCTGCTATACCCCTGCTAATTTCCCCACTGAGGGATTATTAGAGGCTTAACTTATCTTATCTTATTCTTACATTTTTGTGGCAGCAGGCTTCAGTACGGTTTCACAGTTAATAAATCTGAAATGTGTGATTATTAATTTAATGAGAATATATTGAACGTCGAGTATAATTACCCAGGACAAGGGGGTATTAGTGCAGAACAGCGGCAGCACTGCGGTGCATGTTTGCACATCTGACCACGATGATATGGATTGTTGTCCTCACATGGCTGATTGGCGTCCGTCCTGGTGTGACTGTCCAACGTATCGACTTCCGTAACCCGCCGATCACCACGACCCGTCAGAAATAGCCGTCGCCTGAGGTGTAAATCGTTGCCCTGTTATGCAACCGGCGTGTTTGTGTTCTCAGGGAGCTGTGTGACATTGGAGATATAGGGAAACTGACCCGGGAACAGTTTGCTCTGGCGCTTCATCTAATCAATCAGAAGCTGACCAAAGGCCTGGACCCTCCGCAGAGCCTCTCCCCGGAGATGATCCCTCCCTCGGACAGGCTGAACATCAAACAGGTGAGTCGCTTTGAGTCCATGAAGAACAATGAAGGGACGTCTGGATCGTTTTTTGCCATTCGAACGGATTTTAGTTAAGTTGGGGCTGATTTTATAGGCAGTCAGTAAACAGAAGCCAACATCTTTTCTAAAGCACAAAACACTGAAGAGTCAGACACAGATTTACCCTCTGAACCCCAAAACCAACCGGCAGGTTTGCACACATCTTATTTCTTTAAAAAAAACAAAAAAAAAAACCAGCCAGAAATGGTCAAAACCAGTTGTCAGGTTTTCAACTTTCTGATTGTCCTTTAACTTCTTAGATTTTTGGTTTTGTTTGGAAAATCAACCAAATCTGAGCTTTAAATCATGATATTTAATCAAAATCAATTCATTCTACATGTCTGCTTTTGCAAAAATGAGCAATTTGCAATAACAAGATTCAATAACAAGTGGCTTCAGATGTAGTTTTTTGAAAGTATTTGTGTAGCTCTGCCATGGAACGTGTTTGGTGTCCAGACATCGTCAACATTACTGGTGGTCATAAGTCTTCATCCACATTTTAACCGACCTCTGTTCTCGTGTTTTTTCTTCCCCCAGAACAATGCAGTAAACCTGGCAGCTGACTTCTCTGCAATTAAGGAGCTGGACTCTCTCAGTAACGAGATTGTTGAGCTACAAAGGTAAAGTCTTGTTCTCTTCATTTCAAAGTGGCAGACGATGTTATTCAGGTTCTTACTGAAGTCACGTTGGTCTCTGGTGGTTTCTTCTTAACCAGGATGTTCTTCATCCGGCCCAATAGATGGAGTTCAAGGTGGCATTAGACGAGATTTTGTTTTAACCCTCTGAACCCAAAGCAGTTTCTCTTTTTGCTCCTGTCATATTTTTATTTACTACGGGCCCTTTTTTTTTTCTTTTTACTATAAAGTCCTGCATCTCTGTGGAAACAGAACAACCATGACTAGAAGAAGGGAGAACTTAAAAATGCCTTTTGTGCAGTATAATACATGTATAATGCCATACAGCATAACAAAAGAGAAAAAAATTAAAATTTTGTGATTTATTTGATGAAAATCAGAAAAATCTGTCAAAAAAGATAATTCTACACACAGTAGACATTTTACTTGTTATATTTTTTAATTAGTTTTTAATATTTTTTTTTATCCTTTTTGCTCTGTGGAAGCACAATTCAGTGAGTTCAGCTAAAAAATGCGATAATTTTTATCATGAGACCGTTAATTCCCGCTGAGTGATTAATGGATTCATGTGCCTCTCAAGGAGCGCTTAATGTTTAATTTATTTGACAGAATTTGATTAATAGAAACGATTTATTTTGGGCTATTTTTTCAAAATTCAGAGCCCTAAAGTGATTTTGATGAAATATTACAGTTTGAATCTCAGATGTCGTTTTGGTTTCTGACAGAACAGAACGTCACAGTCGACTTGTTTAGTTGAAAATTAGGATTCTTTGTGTTTTTACACTATCTGACTAATAAATGGCGTCATTTTTAGCAACTTATTACTTTTCATCAAACCCACCGGCGGGTTATGGGGTTCAAAGGATGAAGTAAATGCAGATCGAACAATGTAATGCTTAAAAATTTAGATTTAGATTCGCTTTCACTCGTCCGCTGCTGGGTAGGAAATGTCTGGAGACAACGGAGGCTCAATTTACTGTTTAAAGAACAAGTGGAGTAACTGTGGAACCTCTGAGCTGCTACTTAAAACCGACTCCGACGTGCATCAAGTGTGATCAGAGGTGTGTGTGAGGTCAGTAGAGCTGCTGAGGACGTGTTCTTGTTGTGTTGAGATGTCAAAGTGCATCATGTACTGGTGCACAGAGGCAGCGAGGGTTTCTCTGCATCGACCAGCAGGACGCAGTGTTTCCCTCAAACTCAGAACGTGTAGCTGCATAAATATGGATTCTTTTTCAGGTGATTCGGTTGGGTCGGCCAAATAAGTTTTGCACAGTTGTATTTGTGTTTTCAGGTGGTTTCAGGTATGCTAGATGGAATTGCTCTCGGTCTCTCAGGCTTTCTCTGAACACTGACAGCCACGGCTTCAGTAGAAAATATAAATAAGTGTTTTTGCCGCAGGCTGCCAAACGCAGCAGATGGTTGTAAAGCTGAGTTATGTAGCTGCTGTCTGACAGCGAAGTGGAAGGAAGAGAGCGACAGATACACACTATACATCAGACTTCATATATTCACCTCCTCTTACCTTCACGTTCTAGAAACACTTCTCAGCCACAGCTGGAGGAACACTTCTTCATTCCTACCCATCTCTGTGTTTCCTTTGCGTTTGCATACCTGTTTTGCACGTTCAGTTTTCGTTTCATGAGTTACGGGTTCAGTTTTCGTACCCAAGAGAATGTAGCTTCCCTATTCATGAAAGCCGAGAGTGAGAAGTGAGAGCGCGGCCTTCCACACCGCTGATACCGAGGTAGGAACACAAACCAGATGACAGCTGCTATGAAGAGGTAGAAAACATGGATAGCAGGCGAAGCTAAGAGACAGACAGACGGAAAGATGATGCATTTTTGCAGCTGCTTCAAAACGTGGCGTCAACCTTCTGCTCAGAATACGGAGGAAGGTGGTGGTGATGATGATGATGATGGGTAAGAGGGAGAATGGGAACGACACTGAGTTGGAGCTTGTTTTGCTTCTAGAAGATTATCTGAGGAATTATGCGTTTTGATGTGAGAGATGGAACGTAAAAATAGACGCAGTGTCTGAAGGTTCTGCTGTTATTTTTAGAAATGGATGGTGAAAGGACGGGTGCTTTTAAATGTGTGTGTGTGTGTGTGTGTGTGTGTGGGTGTTTTTAAGCAGTTTGAAAGTAGATTTCACACAGCAACTGTGCATAAGGATGTGTTGTCTTTTACAAAACTAAAACAGTAACACAACACATATGATGAATCGGTAACACACATGAAAGCTGTTTGTTTTGTGAGAGAACGATGGAGAAGTTCTGGTGAAAACGACATAAATTAGTTTATACATGAAACACACTGACATACAGTTCAGTATGTTCTCTCAGCCGTTTTCTGTTTTACTAAAAAAAACACATTTAAATCAAAGTATCACTCAGGATATCTGTCCAGAGCTGCTTCGGTGCTTTCGGTGCTGTGATTTCTACTTGCTTTTGTTTCCGTTTTAATCCATTATGCTAAATATACTCAATGAAAACCCACATAGACCAGCTCTGGGTGTCTTTAATGAGGTGAGAGTCATTGTGTTTGGCTAAACTTATGCACTTATACGTGTATTACTGCATGTAAATAAAGTAGGGCTGGGACTTTAACGCGTTAATTAGCGCAAAAATAACGCGTTAAAGTCCCACCCCTAATATACTTTAAAGCGTTAATTACGATTAATTAATTACAACAAAAATAATGCGTTAAAAAAATTAGCGCGTTTAATCGCAGTTTGCATCCAGACAACACAGAATGTTTGTCAGCACCCGATTTCACAGTCCACCGATCACATGATGCACAAGATGCGTTATGCTAACAACAACAAACATGGAGGATTCGATGAGAGTGCATCGCTTGGACTGATGGAGGACAAGTTTCCTTTTAACAAACTGCCTGATGGAAGCCTTGACTAAAGCGTGGTTTTGTGCAACTTGTGCAAAAAAGACCGTGCATCCCACCGAAGCACATCCAGCTGCCGGTACCGCCTGAAGCATGTCGCAGCGAGCACAGGAACCGCCGGAGCTGTTAGCGCTAGCAGTCCTGGATAGCCACGAATCTTTTTAACACACTTTTTTTTGTTGTAATTATTTAATCGTAATTAACGCGTTAAAGTCCCACCCCTGAAATAAAGATAAGACAATAAGACGGGGAAATTTGCAGCGAAACATCAGAAAAAAAATCAAGAAACATCCACGTCCTGTTAATATCAAACAGATTTGTCTGTGTGTTGAAAATCTAAATATTGCAAATTATTCTGTAAATGTGGAAAATAACAATATTGTACAGAGTTTTTCTATAAGTAGACAAATGTTAATATTGCACAGATGATTACTGCAGAATCTTCTATATGTAGATTAAAAATATATATTTTACAGAGCCTCCCAAATGTACTAATATGCAGAATGGTTGGTTTTGCAGCACAGTGAAGTAAAACAACATAAACTAAAACTTCATTAATCCCAAAGGAAATTATTTTGCCCAAGATTGCACAGAAAACTAAAATTGATGAACAATGCAGTGGCTTAAGAAAAGCAAAAAGATATGAGTACGATAATTAGACTACAAATAAGTAACCTGAAATAAGACTAAAATAGAAAAAGTAAAACTGGCAGTGATGACTGAGGCGGTACAATAATATCACACATGATAACGCGACATGACATGTTGTGCTTTAAAAGGAGATATTGCACCTAAAAAATTAACATATTCAACATGCATGAAAACACACATCGCACTGGGCCTGACGTTGCTCAAATTATTGAGAAAAGTAAGTTGTTGTTTGGATTTCAGTGTGTAAATACGACAGCTTTTCTACTGGGAGCAGTTCAGTGTGACAGCAGCAGAAAGAAATGTGTGTTTTAATAATTTATATGAAGTGATCGTGATGAGATGATCAATAAGGAGGTAAATATTGATGATAACTTGTTGTAGTGTCTTATAATAATACTCTACGACTACTTCCCGCTCAACAAAGCAAACTTTGAAGGTCATGAAAACATCCGAATGCACAATTTTATAACGAGGGCTTTTTCTCCGTTATGTATCCCTGCTTCCCGTCTCCCGTCACCACCCAGCTCCTCTCTTCTCTCTCTGGGTGACGGGACAAATGATAGATGTTTCAGGTTGGCTCATCATCACTCGTCTCTCCTCCCTCTCTTCCTCCCTCCATCCTCCAACAGCCATCTGCTCCTCACTCTTCATCTCCCACTCGTTTCACCGAGCAGCCTCACTTTCTCCGGCGCTCTCTCTCGTTCGCTTTCGCAGCGCCGTGCGTCCTGGAAGCCTCGTACATTACGCCTTTCATTGTGTGCTTTTTATTTATTTGCTTATTTGTTTTTTAAAAGTCGCACTCCTGCTCCGGTTCATGCAGCTCTCTGCACTGTGAAGTTGAGATTTCAGGACGAGGATCATGGTGGTTCAGGGACAGGAGAAGGCGGCGGTGGTGGTGGCGGCGGCGAAGGAGGAGAGCTGGCTCGGGCTGGGTGGGCTGGGAGTGCCGAGTCTAACCTGTTTGTCCTTGGTGGCTAAATACTCGTGTCTCTTGTGCTGGACCCCCAGAGAGAAGAGCTCCGTGGAGGAGGAGATCAAGGAGAAGGAGGAGGCCATCCGAGAGCGCAGCGGCGAGGTGCAGGTAAGGTCTCGTCCGTGAGTTTGAGCCCGTTCTCTGTGACATGTGAAAGAAAGACGGATTTATGGACGAATTTGTGGCCGGTTTTGTCTTTGCATGTGTGAATTTACCCCCGTTTTTGTGAAAGCAGAAATCCAGGTCGGGTAGACAGAGGTGCTGAAGCTGTTTTGTTATGATGAGTATACTCGAGAAGATCAATAATACATGCGGCCGGCGGTCTGCGATGCTTGTTGGGGATTACAGGGAGGAAGAGGCTGGTGTCCTCCTGCAGGCGTGTCCGCCTCCTCCGAGCCTCGGAGATGGGCTCTATTTTAGGAGATGACGGCTTAAAGGGCTCGTCTGCTCTCTGCTTTTTGGGGAGCCGGTCTGATGTCAGAGAGTGAGGGATGGTCTCCGGGGAGTCTCGCGCTGATGTAGCTAAATTTCTGAGCTGCACTGCAGAGTAGCCTCGAGTGCTTTCGGCTATTTATACCGTATTGTGTTTTGTGAGTTTGTTCCTGGACGTTGCATATTGTGTGCTTTGGTTATTTCCAGCCAACTCTGCACATACTGGAGTTTGAAGACTTTGCCTGCAGTGGTCCTCAGAGGATGAGGATCTTCGAAATGCAGCTCTTGAAAGCAAAACTTCACTGGTTACTAACTTCATTCTTCTAGTGTGAACTTTTTTGGTTTAAAAAGAGAAGCATAGGACTGTAGCCGTCCAGCATCCTGATGTTGTGCAGCTGTGCCGACCAAAAACGCTCTTATTTATTAGATCTGTAGGTTTTTTTTCCTCTTTGTAAAAGCTGTCTTGAGGTTGGGCTGACAGATGATGTCATGTCCACCGCTGATGACTCACCAGATGGAGGCTGCAGGTATAATCTGTCAGTAGCTGCTAACTTCAGGTGGTTTTACCTCCAAGCAGCAGCTGAGACACTAAAAATGACAAGTTGAGGTTAATTTACCTTCATGCATCTCTGGACAGCATTGCTTTTCCAGGCATGAACATGATGGTAATTGATTATAAATACTAAAATGTAAATCTAATCTTAAACCTTTGTTTATTCATCAGTCACCATATGAGTCTCATATTTAGCTCATCTGTTCATCAAATCTGATTTTACTACAGTTGCCAGAACAAAAACAACTTGTGAACGCAGCTCAGACAATCACAATGATGCTATTTTGAACAACGTACCGATCCGTTCCACTTCACAAGAGCCTCTGTGGTTTAATAAAGTCCTCTTAGAGCCAAATATCGCTAGAAAATCATCTAAAGTTGTTATGATTCTAGTGTTTGGCACCAATTATTAAACTGTGTTTGTCTCTTTTATTGATAAAAGTTGTATCGCTGGACGTCTTTTTATCGTTTTTTTTTGTGTGGAGCCATTGTGATGATGAAGTTTTCATCTCTGCTCATAAAACTGTTTAATCAAAGTGATCATTAATCATCGAAGACATACCGACAAGAGCAGAATGATGATGTGTCAGTAACACCAGTGTCTCTGCCATAAAATAACACGTATTTATTACTTGTTTACAGGCTTTTTTATGAATCAAGTTGAGCTGTAGAACTGATGTCTACGACCAGCCACAACATTAAAACCACCTGCTTTATACTATGTCGTGTCTCATAGTGCTAAACACTAGCATTGATCAGTCGGGGCTTCAGCACAAGACCTCTCTGGTGTTATTTGGCTTTTGGAGGCTATAAATCCTATAAATGCTCCATCAGATTGGGATCTGGGGATTTTTTTTTGGAGGCCACCGCCGCCTCGGGGGATGCTTAGTCTGGTGCTATGTTCAGGTTGGCGGTACGTGTCAAGGCAACATCCCCACAAATAGCCGAAGCCAAGGTCTCCCATCAGAACACGACTCCGTAACGAGAAGATGGATGCTGTTTGGTTCTATTGATGCGGCTGTATTTTAAGGAGCGTCAGTCAAAGTGAAGAATGGGTTTATTCTCATTACTATAACAGCTCTTTTTGCCTGATTTACTGCTTTGAACTTATTAAACTTCACTATTTATTGCCCACTGAAATATACTTTATAATCAGATGATTTGCTTAATGAGGTAGACGGAGTCGAGGCTATAGAGGAGAAATTAGTAGTCATATTTTAATTAATTAACGGTAAAGGATTTCTCCTACCTCCTAACAAACAGTTGGCCTTTGTTTAAATATGTAACAGAAGTTGGTGTCTGTTCTGGTTCTGGCGCTGCTCGCTCTGCTGATGAGTCACATTTAGTGCAGCAATTAAGTCTAAACTTCTGAGAGAAAACTGAAAACCGTCCCACAGTTTTGTTTCTTCCTCTTCCCGCTTTCTGTTTCTACTCCGTTCAAAATAACTCAACAATCCTGATCCATAAAGTCTGTTTTAGCGCCTCTGTTGCTCTCTGCTTTTCTGTTTGTTTGATTGAAGAACTCACAAACACATTTATCCTGCTGTGTGTTTGTTTTTGTTTGTTTTTTTTGGCTGTTTGTCTGCAGGACCTTCAAGACGAGGTGGCCAAAGAGAGCGAGGAGCTGCAGCGACTCCAGTCTCAGCGTCAGAAGGTGCAGGATGCTTTGGAGGAGCTGGACCAGCAGAAGGGCTCGCTGGAGGAGCAGCTCAGCCACATTCGACAGCAGACCAGCCAAGAGACTCAGCTCGTAAGTTATTTGTTGAACTTTTCACACAACCACCGAGCACAGTGGCGACCATGTAAGGAAGTAATAAAGGGCAGGATTTCATGAAAGCGATCACGTCCTTCCAGATCTCCTCGCTGCAGACGGAGCACGAGGACCAGGAGCAGAGGATATGCCAGTTCGAGGAGGAGCTGGTCCAGGCCCGAGAGGAGCTGCTGGCTCTGCAGGAGGAGAGCAGGAGGCTGCAGGAGAAGGTCCAGGCAGCCCAGGAGCAGCTCACTCCTCTTCAGGAGTCTGTGCGAGACTCCTTCACACAAGTTGCACAGGTCAGAAGCTCAGCAGGTTTCTCAGTGATGGAAATGAGTCACTTCTATTTTAATCCGCTGAGCTCTCCACTCAGGCTACATAACAGCTCGCATTTACATCATTTATTCTGCATCTTTACACGTCGACTGTTTTCCTGTGTTTTGCATGTTTAACTGCTGCTGCTGCCAAACTGTCTGTTTAGAGTTTCTGTCTAAATATTACATTAACTGTTCTTAGGTCCAACAGAAGCTGAATGACCTTCAGGTGGAGGAGAGGTCGGTGACGGCTCAGCTCAGCTGGAAGAGAGCCCTGGAGGACAACTCTCCGGTCATGGTTAACGGATCAGCGGGCCCCACCGCCGAGCTGCACCAGGGGGACCCCTTCCAGCAGGACCTCTTCCAGGAAGACCAGCCGAAAGAGCTGAAGGAGGAGGAAGCCGCCGCTGTCTGCAGTCTGCAGCAGAAAGAACATTCGGATCAGAAAGAGCAAGAAGGAGCGACTGAGAAAGAAGAGGAGGAAGAAGAGAAGGAGGACGAGAGTCCAAAAACCCCGGAGGAAGAGAAAGTGAAACCTGATGCCCTGGATGATCTCTACACCAGTCTAGCCTCGTCTGATTTGTACAACAGTCTGTCGACGCTTGGCAAGCCGTGGGAGAACGCTGTCAGGGTAATAAACACATGCTCTCAGTTGCCAGTTCTTTTATATAAAAGCCTGCAGCATCACCTCCTACTGGAGCTGTGCAGCGCTTTTATCTGTTTATGTAACAATGACAAACATCACATTTACTCTGAAAGGATCTTGTTCACCCACAAAGCCTGTAATACCAGTAAACCTCATTAGCATTCGGTGTGATTACAGGTTTTTATTTAGACACACTGGAGTTGCACCAAATATTAAAACGATCCACCGTAGAAGTTCTGAGACGACGGTTCTGACACTAACAGCTGCTGTGGTGTTTTCTGAACTCTCCAGGAACAGAGCAGTCCTGCACCCAACGTCTCCGCTGAGGCCACAGAGGATGCAGAAGACTCTCCTAAGGACAGTCCGCTGAAGGTAAAGTAGAGCTGTAGCGTCGTTTCTCTGTTTTATTACTGTTATAATCACTCTTGAACATTCAGCCGAGCACCAGGAGCCTTTGTTGTGACTGCTGTGTGAAGCTAAAGATAAATAAGATAATCCAGTTTCCATTACAACACGTGTAGAATGACATTTGACGTTCTTGATGTCAGGAATAAGATGGAAGCGATTATCAGTCATGAATGTTTTATGATGCTGCTGAATGTTTCCTTACCTCAGTAATATTTTATAGACATGCTGGTTTATTTATCGTGTATTCAGACACTTGAAGTTTTGTGCAAATATGCTTTTTAAATTAATCAGATAATAATTTTATAGGATCAAAAATTCCAGTTTAAGCCCAGAAACCCTAAAACCTGCTGGTGGTTTAATTATCTTTAAAAAAAAAAAAAATTGACGCCAAAATTGGGGCCAGAAACAGTAAAAACAGAAAGAATCAACAGATTTCTAACTTTTAAGTTAAGTTAAAACCAGATATTTAATTGAAATCACTTTATTCTAGGTGTTTCATTTTAAAAGTCACCATTTGCTTTAACCAGATTCTGCAAAAAAACAAAACATCCAGCACTCCTCGGTACAACTGAGAAGCCACAAGTGACTCGGGTACATCTGGTGGTCAGCAGACAAAAATTCAGGGATTTTCAACTTTCCAACTGTCTTCAAACTCATCATGTTCTGTCAGAAAAATTAACCGAATCAGAGCTTGAAATCACGACGGTTAATCAAAATCACTTTATTCTCGATGTCTCAGTTATAACTTAGCTAAAAATAAAACATTTACCCGAACCATCTGCAAAAAAACAAAAAAATTTGTGTTCCTCAGCACCACTGAGACGGTATAAACATCCAGGGATTCATCAGATTTTCAACTTTCCAACTGGCCTTGAACTAACCACGTGTGACTTTTCCAATTCTGTGAGGAAAATTTACCAAATCTAAGTTAAAATCGTAATATTTAATCCAAATAACTTTATTCTGGAGGTACAACTTCGCAACAAAACAAAAACATTTGCCCTGACCTAACCTTCTGATTCTGAAAAAAAAATCTGCGTTTCTCAGCACCACTTAGAAGTCATTGGTGACAAAAATTCAGGGATTTATCAGATTTTCGACTTTCCAACTGTTCTCCAACTAATCATGTCTCAGCTTAAAGTCACAGTCGCTCATCAAAACAACTTTATTCTGCACGTCTCTTTTAAACATAATGACAAAAATGAACAACCACAGCCAAGAAAACTTGAGGTAGAAGATAATTTGATCGTATGCTGACAGATCTAGATGTAGCTGTAGGTGCCTCATGAGATGTGTTCAGGATGTTCGTGATGTGACGCTACGCTTTAGGATTAGTTGATTAAATTTCTACCATAAACACAGGTTGTAATGTTCAGATGCATGTGGCCGCCCGACAGGTTGCATCACCGGAGCCGGAGATCAAAGAGGAGCCGACAGATTCGACGGAGACGCCTTCGTTACCGCCTCAGGTCGGCCCTCGCTCGATGCCGCCTCAGACCAGCCCGCCCTCCCTGCCTGAGATGGACTTCTTCCATTCGGACCCCTTCACTGACCGTAAGTCCTAACCGCGCTGAGGTTCCACCCGTTTGGAAAACTCCCTCAGACCGATCGGTTCTACTGATATTTGTGTGACCTGTGATCGATGCCAAAGCCGTGAAACCATCGGCCGTGTCTGAGCTGTGATGTTGGTTTCTTTGCAGATGATCCGTTCAAAGACGATCCTTTTGGGAAAACAGACGCTGCAGGTGAGTTCTCCAGAACTATACGCCCACTTAAAGTGATAAACAGACATGAAAACGAATCTCAAACGGGTTCATGTTCTATGATTGTAAATGTTCTGTTTCTGTTCATTCAGACCCGTTTGGAGGAGACCCGTTCAAAGGCTCGGACCCGTTCGCTGCAGACTCTTTCTTCGCTCAGCCCTCCAGCACCACCTTTTCCTCAGAGGACCCTTTCGCTGCCTCGGCCGACCCGTTCGGTACCACTGCCGGTGCGCCAGAACCCGACCTGTTCGCGGCCAAGCAGAACGACTCTGCGGCTGCGCCGGCAGCAGGTCCGGATCCCTTCACCTCCAAACCCGCCAACCCGACCTCCAGCGATCCGTTCAGCGCCACGGCGAACAACATGGCCGACTCCGACCCGTTCGGAGGGAAGGCGAACGCCGCGGGGGAGGCGGATCCGTTTGGTACTCAGGACGGAGGGACGGATCCCTTCAGCTGCTCCCCGCCGAGCTCAGAGCTGGCAGTGGTGAGGAGATTTATTAGAAAGTTACAGATCCTGTTTTTAATATTTTTATTTTATTTTATTTTTTGTTTTGAAGCTTTGATAAGAGCGGTACAAAACGTTCTGCAGCAACGTTCTGACTGTTAAATTAATTTTAAAGTTATAACACAATATTTTTTATTATTTTTGAGGCATTTACTTGATTGTGGGACAGAAACGAAGGTAGAAAGATTAGAGGAATGAAATATAACAAATGTTCTGGCTGCTCAGGGCCTTCATGTTTATTATCGATGGAAAAAAATAAAATGACAACAAGAATCTGTCGTGAATGTTTTAGCTACAGATTTCCTCACCTCAGAAGTTTTTATAAACATGGTGCTTAATAGGAATATATATTAGCTGTAACCAGCTGCACAGAATGATTATATTTTATAGGGTTTTATTTTTTACCCTCTGAACCCCAAAAACCTACCAGAGGTTAGAAAGGCATGTTGTTGTTATTATTATTTTTTTTAAATAGCCAAAATTACACTATTTATCATCGCAAAACCTGCAAACACAGAAAAAACAATCAGATTTTTGACTTTAGGACTCGTGTGTCTTCCAGAAAAATTTGATTAAAATCAGGATTTTTCATCAAAATCACTTTATTAATAAAACTTAAGCAAATATTGACCATTTTCTTTCATCAAATTTACACCTAACAGTTAAAATTTTAGTTTGGAAGAAGATTAAAACATTTATATCATTGAGTTGTAAGTTCAGAGGTTGTTAAAAAGTATGAAAATGACATAAAGTTGTAGATGTTGTAGGAGTATATTGTATTAACTATTTAATTTCTACTTTTTATGCTGCTGTCTTGGTCACGTCTCCTTTAAAAAGACTAATTAAAAGGAAGAGTTAGAATCTGAAAGTGGGATCAGCTAATTAAAAACTGGTAAATCAGAGGAAATATTCTGCAGTTTCTGCTAAATTTGCATTTATTCAGACTAAAACAGGTGTCTCCTGTGTTACTTTTGTATGAAATGCAGCACTTCTGGTTCCAGTCAGTCACGTTCCCTTTATGTTCAGTTTGGGAAATATGTGTGTTTTTGTTCTGTTCTTAGAAGGACATCGCAGCGACCAATGACCCCTTCGCTCCAGGCGGTACGACAGTGAACGCCACCTCCGATGCAGGTATGACTTGTAGCACGGCGCCACCTTCTGGAGGCACAGTCCATTGCAGCTATTAAATAAAAGATGTTGTCCAACGTGTTTTCTGTACAGCTGATTTCATTCGCTGAGTCACTCTTTGTTTGTGTGTTTCAGATCCGTTTGCTGCTGTGTTTGGTAACGAGTCGTTTGGAGGCGGCTTCGCAGATTTCAGTGCCTTGGCGAAGGTAATTTTCAGCGCTAAGTGGTTCTAATTACGTCCTGCGTTTCATGTATGCAGTCCTGAAATGACACCTAGTCCGAAGCGAAACGCTGCAGAATGAGTGTCGGCTGAAACAGAAATCGTTGTGTTGTGGTGAACTTGTTTCTGGTGCAGAAACCAGAACGTTAATTGACTCAAGCTGGGAACTGAACTGGTGAGTGTGTTGTGGTTTCGTGGAGGAAATAGCTGAGACACGTGAATATTTTTGCGCTGAGGAGGGAATATTTCAGACGTTGAGCAACCTCAGTAATCCTTTGAAACGAAAAGGACGTCATCCATCATCAGTGCTGCATTTACTGTTTATTAAATAATGATGCCGTCGATGTCACCTCTCATTAGAGACAAATCTGTCAGTTTTATGTCCATCATGTTCTGGTGTCTGTGAAGAGTCTCAGTCCTCCAGGTCATGGTTGTTCTGGTCGGTTGATCGTAGCAACTGGACTTGCTTGAGCTCCTTGAAGACCACATCTAGCCACAGAAGACTCTAACGAACCCCTTTGTGGCAGGGGGAGCACTAACGACTCACATAATGAGGGGGAGGAGTAACAAACCCCCAATTGAAACTGAAACTCAGGTGTTAACGGCTCCTTAAGGATATCAGCATCTGGAACTCCCAACTAGTCAGTCAGAGCTGATGAAGCCTCTTGGATGAGAGGTGGAACGTCTTCAAGGAACTCAAACAGGTCCAGCTGCTACGATTAATCTACCAGAATAATGTCATGGTGTTACTATGCAGATGAATTCTTGTGAACACAATAATGAGATTGACATTGAGTAGAAACACTGATTTTACAGACTAGAAATATCTCACAGGTTTCCCATGAGGAGGGTCTGATTAGATTCCTGCATAAATTAGCATAATAATGAGCAGACTTTACTTTGTGGGTCATTTAATGAAAACCTGCCCTCTTCAAAATCGGCATTTTTTAACATCCACGATAACTTTAGTATCTATATATAATAAACAATGCAAAATGTTTTCAGAGCTACAGGTTTTCAAACTGCACCATGTTGGGTCAAAATTTAACATTCGTTCTATTTTTTCCATCTATTTTTAAACCTCACAGCTTTATAAATACAGGATACATTAAATGTTCTGTTCTGTTAAAAACCAAATCACTTATTTATCACAATCCGAAGCCAATATCTTGTTTTTTGCACATTTTTTCTGCAACTTCAAGCTACAATTTAATGGTATTTACTACAGCTTCAATAATACAACTGGGGCAGTTTAGTAACTATGATATATAGAGCCTGGAAACAGGCCCTGGTATTATCTGAAAACTTTAAAAAAGTGCATTCTGGGTAAACTTTCCAGGCTCATGTGTGGTGGTGGTTGGTCAGAAAGGATCATTTTAACCTTGGTTTGCCACCAGGATCATCTCTTTAACCGCAACTGTTTCTCTGTTAAAATCATTTATTGTAAATGAACTGATCCATGTGTGTGTTTCTGTCGTCCCGGTTCTGGTTCTGCATCGTTTTCACTTTGTACTGAACCTTCTGTTCCAGTCAAACGGTGCCGACCAGTTTGGCATCAACAACAAGAATCTGTTCCAGGAGGACAGTCAGACGTCCAGCTCTGACGTTCCTCCGGCCCTGCCGCCAAAAACCGGTACGCCAACTAGGCCCCC